AAAAAAAAAAATAACGAATAATATGCTGTTTGCTTTGCTATTGGCTGCGTTTAAGAGTCGTGTCAAGTGTGCGACGCTAAAACTCGTCTAATGATGCACTTACACACACAATCAAACACAGACACACACACACACACATCTTATATGTGCATACATATATTCATCGATATCTAACAACTGCAGCTCTTGAAAAGCGCTTGACGGACTTTCAACTATTATTTTCAAACGGACTGTTGGGGCCAAAACACCAGGATATGGGACCCCGCCCCAGCCACTCACTGTTTAGTACTGTGGCAGAACAGAGCAAACAATTTGATGGAATTTAATTTGATTTGCTTTCTACTTTGAGCATCAAAGCACATAACAAAATTGTATCGATAAAAGGCTATTTATAGTTTTTATTACATTAAAAAGGTCGCTGGGGTTTCAAGCTTTCAAAATTGTTTATATGTACTATTATATGAATTGTGAGTAGATAGAGACATGTATGAAATAAATAATTTTTTTTTTTTTTTTTTGTTATGTATATAGATCAAGTTCTTGAGTTTAATTTTGTAAATCAAATATTTGTTTTTTTTTTTTTCCTATTCAGTGTATTAGCTGCAGCTCATTATTTCCAACTATATAGCACATTTAGCTATTGACCTTAACTAATGTGTGAAATCTGAATTTATTTGTCGAGAAGTATAAAATCTAGAGACTAGAATTATAATCATTTATACTCGAATTTTTCTAGAAGTGTATAGCAGAAGCTTATGGCTAGCTACGAAAGCTGATCTGATTTTTTCAAGAAACTCATAATTTTCGATCATCTCTTCTATTTAAATAATATAGAATAATAATTTAAAACGAATTTTATGCTTATATACAAAATTTTCTAATAAAATTGGGTTGCTTCTGCATTTTACCAACTCCTAGTTCGAACCGAAACTCAATTAACAACTTTTCGCAGTCTTAACTAACATCATAAATTGGGCCTAATTGAAAGCTTAAATTTCATTGTGCATTGAAACGTTTCATTTATGCAGTTTAGCACATATTATTGAACTATATATTAAATATATGTATGTATTATGGCTTTTTAATTGAGTGCAAATTGTGATGGCAATGTCAACAGTTTATCAACTTCAATTTGCTTTGGAATGTGGGCGAAAATATTTTGTTAAATAAAGTTAACTTGACAGCTCTTGATAAAGTTCTGTTGAATATATTCATTTCATTTCATTTATTTATTTATTTTTTTTTTTTTTAGTTAAGTTGCAGTAAATTGTAATAAATTAAATTTGGCTTAAATATAGTTGCATAACCACACACAAGCACGCACACACGCGAACAAATTTAATTAAAAAATGGCAAATAAAAGTTGACTTCATTTAATTTGGTTACGTGGAAGGGGGAGACGCGACGCGATGCTGACGCGAATGAGATTTGCAATGTGAATGCTAATGGCTTGGCGATGACAGTAACTGACTGACTGACTGACTGACTGGTTGAGTGAGTGACTGTTTATGTCTCTTGTGCGCGTCGTGACGTTTGGCTAACGACTAAAGGCGCTGCTCAGACCGCAGCAGCCTTTGGTTCGACACAAGCTGTCAGAAGGAAAGGCGGAAATAGTGCCTGTAAGTAGGCAATGCCTGTCACTGAAGCAGCCACATGTGTGAGTGTCTATGTATGTGTGTGTGGCTCTGTGTTTGTGGCTTGTGTGTGCTATGAATATCTAGCGAGAGATCTGTCTGTCTCTCTCTCTCTCTCACTCTCAGCTTTTCCTGCTGTCGCTGGTCGCAGCGCTTTGTCTCGATTAACATGAGCATTGTTGTTAGTTATATATATATTTATCATTAAGCGCAACAGGAGGCGCGCGCACACACACACACACATACGTATAGCACACACAACATGGCCAACAATTTCCGTGCTGCTGCAAACGCTGCTGGCATGTCAATAATGTTCAAAATGTAACTGCCATGCCAAAGCCTTGTCAGCGCGTGGGCGTGGCACCGCCGCCCACTGCCCTTAAAATGCAAAAACAAAAAAAGAAAAGATAAACAACAAAAATAAAATAACGGCGACCCTTGCTACGTGTGTGCCTGTTGAAGCGTGCGGCAGTCGGGCAGCCGCTGCTCATCCGCATGCTTCAATGGGCGCTCATTGCTTTAACCCCTCGTTCTGTCTCTCTCATGCTCATGTTCTCTCTTTCTAGCGCTGCTGCTGTCTTTGCTGTGAGTGTGTGTGTGTACAACGTAAGCGTTAATAAAATGTACAAACTGCTCACACATACACAGACACGCACTCATACACACACACACACAACCGCACACCTTATTAAGCCACATTTTGGCACCCGCAAAAATTGCTGTACGTATACTTAATATTTTTTTCATACAAATGGCGAGCTATTTGCGTGTGAGTGTGTGTGCGTGGCGCGCTTAAAGCATATTTAAATCAAAACGAGCTAACCTAACCATAAATAGACATAAAAGCGCTGCAATGGGGGGCGTGGCACATGGAATACACTCGGAGCTATTTGCGTGCTGCTCTCACGCTCAGCTGCACTCCTGAGGGCTTCACTGAGCAAAGCCAAGCACAGCAACTGTTCGGCAGGCGGGCAAGGAAAAGATATTAAAAAATGAAAAAAAAAGGTCAATGCGATAGTGAGACGAACGAGCCCCAATGCAAACTTCAATTAAATGTCACGCAGTGCGACATCTTTTGTATTAAGATAGTAGATGCAATTGACAGGTCATCGAAGAGATGTTCGAGCTTGAATTTCTTTTATGTAGCGGGAACGAAAACTTAAATTTATTGAGTGAAAATTGTGAGTGAAAAGATTTGTACCTTTAAATAGATAAACATTGATATGTATTCTAATTAAATGAATTTTTAAGCATACACATAAAATTCATTCTTTTGAAAAGATACCTCTCCCTTTGCAGTTTGCATTCTAATTGGACCAATACTTCAAAAAGTAGGATTCATTCCAATTAAAGGGTAATGCTCTACTGTAAACTCGATTACGTTCCAGTTGGATGAATGCTGTCTTCCAATTGGATGCATTTTATTTTACAGTATATTCATTTAATTTAAAGCGGGGTGGATTTTTTAACAATTTAAAAGGAAAATATTTACATAAAGAGCTAATAAATATATTAAAATTTTATTATAATTAATAATTGTTAACAAATATATATATTTCAGGCTTACAACAGGCTATCACCCTTTGTTATATGAATTTTACGTATTTATATCCGACTTGGAATCATTGTCAATTCCAATCAATTGCATTTACCTATCTATCATTCCATATATGTAACATGAAGATCTAAAGCTGTCAATCTGGCGCAGCTTGGTTTATTTACACAGCTCTCGAGCTGTGTGCGCAATTAATAGATTTCTAATGAGAGCAGGAATGCAGCAGTGCAAAGGATAACGAATGCCAGGATGTGGCGAGAGGAGAGCAAAGCAAAGAGCACATTTGTTCACTTGACACGGCGTTGCTTGAGCTGAGGAGCTGCGTGTTTGATTAACCGGAAGATAAACACGCAGAGCCACGCAGAGCAGCTGCGGACCACACTCCGTCAAGGACTTGCTCCTGACAACTTTATCAACATTATTATTTAATTTGCTGTGGCACTGGGCGGCTGGCTAACACACAAAGCAAAAGAAGATGTACGCCAGCGCTCAAGATGGATGCAAGGAGCGCTTGGACTGCGTGACCAGCTGGCGCTAATTGTCTGCACACGTGCGTCGCATTATGAGAAATAATGAGATATAGATACAAACACACATACACACTCACACACGCACATACACACAGGCTGTTGCTGAAAGTAAAACTTTTCAATTTGCAAGCTCGTTTCCCTTTTTTTATGGTTTCCTCAGTTACTTTTTTCGGTTTTTTCTTTGTTTTTGTTTTGTTTAGGCTTTCAGTTTTATAATTAGAATTTAGTGCAGGGTTTTGACCAAAATCAAGGGCCAAGCTCGTGGCCGCGTTTTGACGTCAAATTGCAGGCGGTGCCGCACCACACCACCCCGCCCCAGTTAAAGCCAGCCAAAAAGTTGGCCTACTATAAATAGTTCCATGTTGACTGCAATTTAAAGCTTTGCCACGACACGCGGCGCTCGCAGTGACGCACAAGCCTCACGAGACATGGAAATAGTTGACCCGCCAAAGGGAATTCATGTTTGGTGTTCTTGTTTTTGGGACACGCAATGCTCGCATTGCTCATTTGTTAGCATATTCACTGGGAGGCGTGTTGATAAACTATGAAGAAAAACAATATTGATTTTCCTCAACTAAGTTGAGTTAGTTGTGCAAAGTGTACAAATATTTGCTCAATGGCATTTAAATGTTTGGTATAATACCCAGGAGAACGCTCAAGTTACTAATAGTTGGTAAAGTTAATATTTGGTAATGATCAATAGAATGCTAATAGCAGATGGTGGCAAGCCAAAAATATTCTCTATTACACGATAGAAAACGTATTTATCGATCATTGATTACCGTAGAAAGTATCAATTCTTTAAAAGAGCCTATGATACAGTTACAGTCAATAAATTTTCGATTGACTATAGTAAGCTGATAACACATAGCATTCATAAACTTAATTGCTCGCAGCAATCGATAACAAAATCGATCAACTGTCCTTATGCACTACCATAGGATCATAATCTTAGCACTCTGATTAACCGTGCCCGACTTACCATCGCCTTCCTGTGAGTTGACGCTTTGATTATCATCGGCCGTGTTATCGGTGCTGCCTGTGACTGGCCGATTAGCCTGAAGTTTGTTGAAGTAATCGGCAGCAAAGTCAATCAGATCCGGCGGCTGTTCGACCAAATACGAAATCGAGAACTGCAAAAGCACCTCCTTGAGCTCATCGGGAACCTGGATGCGTCGACTCGAATCGGTAGACATGTTTGTGCTGAAAAAATGCAAGAAATAGCCCATATGAGACAGCTGCTATCAATATATACAAGATAGAATGAGGCATAGAAATCATTAGATAAACATCAATCAAAATTTTGATGGATAAGTGTGTGCGTCAGCCGTTATTTCTTTATCTATTGCCAGAGTCTTAAAAATAGATTGATAGATTACACTGATTCGCATGAATTTCGCAATGCTGAAAATAAATGGTTATTTTGATTGAATTATAAGGAATTGTATTTGGGCATTATTTGAGATTTCGTTGGAATATACAAGAGGTGATATTTAGTGGAAATTGTTGCCCCAACAAGTGTCAAGTGCTGGGCATGGGAACAGCGCTCAAAACAATTTACAACTAATTGCAGCAGCGAGACCTCAACTGACGCTGACATAAACATTATATGGGAATAAATACACATACAAATATACATACATAAATGCTTATACACGGGTATACACATGTTTTTGTCAGCTATAGTCTAGAGTAATCTAGTGCCTCTCGTCGACTTTAAACAGCGCCTCTTTATGCCCATTTGTGTAATTTGTCACGCGTGAGTTTGACCTCGAGCTAGTTGAGTGGCCCCTCGTTGCGCCCATGGGTCATTTATATTTTTATTTTTATTTTCATTCTCATTTTCATTTACATTTTGTTTTGTTTGTTTGCTTGTTTTATTACTTTTTGACTATCCACGGAAGCTACAATACAATTCCCAATTCAACACCTCTCATCAACAGCCATACAAATGTAAACAACTGCAACAACAAGAACAACAGTACTAGCAGCAGCAGCAACAACAACAACTATAAACATTACCATAACTTTAGTTCATTCGTTCGTTATTCGCGTCATCGAACAGCGCGTGATTCAACGTTGCACAATTTATTTTTCGTCGTTCTTATTTTATTTTTTGTTTTTATTTTTATTTTAAGTATATGTATATATCTGCATTTACACATATATATATAATTTTTTTTTTTCAGATTTTGTCGCCGGCTTGTTGCGTTCGTAGAAAACGTAGAACGTGAGCTTCATGTCAATTATGCGACTGCAGCGATGCCACGAAATTTCATACACAAAAAGAGATATTTGTGTGTGTGTTTGTAAAACATATAGTAGTTCATATATTTATATACACGTATGCATAATGACTGAATAATCCATCAACTGTACTCGGTTTATACTCTCGTAATAGTCATTTAATTTAAGCATTTCTTTTAAATATTATCTATATTTTCTTTAATATTATTATTTTTAGTTTTAATGCTATTATCATCACTATCATCTTGATTATTTGATTTGATTGAATTCCTACCTCAACACAAAAAAAAAAAAAAATAAAAAATAAAAAAAAAACATCTTTATTATTATTACTATTAATCATCATTAGATTTGTATGTATTGATTATAATTGTCATTATTATGATCATTAGCATTATCATTGTCAACATATAAGTATTCACTTGTTGTTGCTAGCCTAATCATTAGCATTATCATTATTATTGTCATTGTCATAAGCATTGGCATTACAATAGTCATTATCATTATTATAAATATTACTCATATTGTCATTGCTAATACCATTATCATTGTCATAATTATTATCATTATCTCAATTGTTACTATTCTATCTATCAACCAAAGCCCCATGAACTCATCCCCAATTTCAACATTGCGAATTAATAAATTGCTCATATAATTACCTTAATGCCAACTCAACTAGTTGCCAAGCATCTCTCTAATTATTTAACATAATTAGTTCATTTAATTACCCAACGATTTGCCTGTTTAATTAATTGTGTTTTAGATTATATTAATATAGTTATATTTGTCACAAGCTGAGCAGAGCTCTGCATGCTTTGCACTTGCTTCTAAATGCTCCAATTAATTTGAAATTTCTCAGAAAATTGGCTACCCCCAGCTCACCCTCTCGCTAACACCCTGCCATCCACTGATTCCCTCATTCTCTCTACGATGACTTAATCGCATTATCCGTTATTTCTGCACGAACGCAATATTAAATACTTGAAAAGTTTTTCTTGCTGTCAAGAAATGCAAAAACAAAGCAATTTACGTATTTCTATTATGCATCAGCTATGCAGCCATGTAGTCGGGGGAGGGAGGAGGTAGCGGGGCTGGAAAGATAGCTAACTGCTTGGTTGAATATTTGCTATAGCACTTAGTGCAGAACATGGCCAGAAGCATTTAACAGTCAAGTGACAATTGTCAATTGCCAATTTGCAGTTGGCAATTGGCAGTTGGCTAAATGGGCTAAAATCAAATGTGACAGCAAAAAACTCGACAGGAGATTGGCTAGGAGGTGCCAGACGGCAGCCTTTATTAGTTTGTAATTTTGATTTTAATATTTATTTATTCGTCGCTTTCTGGCCGCAGGCCAAGTTGAATATTAATGAACTTAATTGAAAAAGTTCGGCTCAAAAACACAAACTGCGTAGGTATACAAAAAGAGAGTGAGAGAGAGGAAGTGAGAGAGGTAGAGAGCGCGAGGGTGTGTGTGTGCGTGTGTTGATTCGCAGCAAACAGGCAACAACTGCAACAACAACAACAACTGTTGCTGCTGTTGCTCCTGTGCCTGCGTCGTCAGCCGGGGCAAAAATTAATTTCCAAAATTACGACAAATAAAATGTTGCGGGCAACTTTTCAACAGCCAAACGAGAATACTTAGCTGCTGTAGAATCAAAGGGGCAGATAGGGGGGGAGGGGGCGAGTGAGGGCGTAGCTGAGGCAGAGCTGCGCCCACACAACAATAACTGTAGCTCAATGCGCAATTTACATAATTACGCATATTTGACTCAAACTTATAAATATTTATGTAGCTAGAGCTTTTCAATGAACTTCACGCTGGCATCCAGGAGCGGTTAAGCCAGCAGCTGCCGGGGGCTGCAACAGTGAGTGCAAAATATATGTTGACTGTAGCATGCATTCAAAACTTGCGCGGAAAGTATTTGAGTAAGATTTATGCAAGCTTCAAGAAGTGATTCAATTTCCGTGAAAGTTAAGGACAAAGTGAGGGAATTCTTGAAGTTGAAAATATTAATAAGACGAAAAACTAACTGGGAAAGTATATATGAAATATAATACAGATAAATGTATGCATTAATTATAAAAAAAAGTATTTAAATATTTTTGGGAATGTAATAATATGGAAAAATTCTTGGAGTTGAAAATATTAATGAGAAAATTAAAATTAATTAGGAAAATAAAGAAATATTAATATTCATT